GATATTGTTGGGCTATGCATTGAAAACATTATAAATATAAATTAATTGATATATATATATATATATATATATATATTAATATATATATATATTAATATATATATTTATTATTAATTAATTTGATATGATTTAATTAATTATTATTATATTAATTAATTAACTTATCTTGATTTGATCTTTATCCATTTTGCCGAAAAGCTCTGATTATTCTGATTATTCACTATGCGTGTGTTTCTTCCGCAAAAAAATTAGATTGAACATAACAATAATAGCGTAAACAGTATAAAGTAACTAGGCAGAATCTGATGTTCAAGTGCAACAATGTGATTGGTCGACGCAAGTTACGCTTACGCAAGTTACGCCGCATGTGACGACACCCTTATAATCTTGAAAGTAATTAAAAAAGTGTACGAAACTAAAACGGAACGATAACCACAGTATACTTCTATTACGTCATAGCATGAACATTCGGAGTGAATAAAAGAACACACCCAGTGTCTCTAGTTCACAATTTATCTTTCTTTCTTACATCGGAAGAAGAAAGATAAACTTTAAACTAGTGCAGCCAATTCAGCTAAAAAGAATAGACCTCTTGTAATTACCCTCACATGATCAAATTATAAAGATGGCGGCGTATTTGGTCCCGGCTGTCGATTGAAAAGTGTTGCTCGCTTCGAAAATATGTTTTTAAAAGTTATTTAAAAACTATTTATCTTAAAATAATTGCACGAAATTGAATTATAATACACGGTGAATATTTATCAGAGGTAAAGGTAAATCTCTATTTTTTTTTTAAATAAAATAATTATTTGACATCAAAGAAATAATACTCTATTTTCTTTGATAGATGATATCAACGAGATACGTATCGTTCTTGTCAGGAATAGTGATAGCTTCTCTAACATGGGCGTTTAGCCTGTATCTATATTCAAGGCTGACACAAAATGCCATTACTACGAGTCCTACAATGCTATCACTCTCTAATCATAGAGAAAGTATTGACAAAGAAATGCTGCGTGACAACATTATCATTGCTCGCAATGAAAAACAGATTATTATTGGCAAAAATGCCTATAATTTGAAGAGTAATAAAGACAGTAGGAACAATAATCTACTTTTGCAGCAATTGCAACCTGTTCCAGTAAAGCCTGCAATCACTTTAGAGCAAGGTATAGTTAATCTTAATATTCTAGATTAAGTACATCGTTGAGCTCAAGATTGTAATTAAATAAAATGTTTTTGTAGGTTTGGATGAATTAGGTATGGTAAAGAATTTGGAGGATCAACAAAAGAGAGATGAGGGTTATAAAAACTATGCTTTTAATGTTCTGATATCTGATAATCTTGGTATACGAAGAAATATACCAGATACAAGGCACAAATTATGCAGAGCGCAGAAATATCCTATTAATTTGGCAAATGCTAGTATAATTATCTGTTTTTACAATGAGCATTATACAACGTTATT